TTGCAGACCTGGAGATTTGTCTGGCATGTATTTGCCCGGCCTCGACAATGGCGTCTTGCTGTCGCCGCCCAACAACTTCCCCTCCGCCCATTTCGTGTAGAACTCCATGACTTTGCGGAAAACGTCATCACCGGCCGTCACGAGCGGCATCCACTGCCTCAATGCATTGCCAACGGCAGCGACATACTCCTTGTCGGCGAGCAATTTATCTTTTTCTGCCAACGACCAGTGAGCTTCGTTCGGACTCATTCCCAAAATCAACTTTTAGAAATCGAAAAACTTTTGTTTTTTGCCCTCCTTGCCGGAAGGGTTCCCTTGAATGGCCATCGACCTTCCTTTTTTCTCCCATGCCTCCCGCATGTCCAAGAACGCAGCCTTCTGCGATCGCTGCGTAGACCTCTTGTGTCTCGTGTTCTCGTTGAGACTGACCTGCATATAGCCCGCAAAATCTCGGTCGGAGAACCACACCACTCTCGGCGGCCACGGGTGCATCTTCCACAATACGAATATTGGCTCACCCTCCAACTCCTTCACAACAGCCACGGTGTGTTGTCCGTTAACAGGGTAATAGTAGTACTTGTGCTTGTCCTCTGGCTTGAAGACATCTTTGTGAACCCTTTCAGCTTGCTCCGGCCTACGCTCCACCGACTTGTAGATGGGTGTTAGAAACAAAGGGTTTTTCGTCCAGATCTTGCCCCTTTTCTCGCGGAATTAACGCAGCATCACAGCCTTGATGTCGTCCACAGTTTCGCGATTTAGACCGCGGTGGTTGTAATATCTTTCCCAAGACGGGATGTCGGAGACCTTCCTGGGGTCGATGAGCAGTTGGACGAGGAGCTCCTTCTCCATGATCTCACCGCCATCGTTCCGCTCGTATTCGAGCCTGAACGCTGCTGCTTCGTTCCACTCCTCCCCGACAGGCCGTTCGCCCCTGATCGCCGCCCCAGCAGTCTTCCGCCTCTGAGGTTTCTTCTGGCCATCGCCTTCTTCAGCTGCCACTTTCCGTTTCGATTTCCCCGAAGGTTCTCTCGCGGCGGCAGCGCCTGGATCAGCCGAATCTCCTCCACCCGCGGCTTGTCCTTCGCGGATGGTCAAACCGCCGGCCTGGGGCCTCCTCGCTTTCTTACTTGCCGTCCCACCCTCTTCCTTCGTCGGCCTCTTTCCCGAGGCACGTTCTCCGTCGCCACCTCCATCCCCGCCCGTCACCGCCTCCGGTTTTCCTCTCATCCTCTTCATGCGGAAGGTTCCTTCCGCCACCTCCTCTTGCACCATCCTCTGTCACTCGCTCTTCTTCTCCGAAGGARTCTGCTCCCCGCCAGAGCTTCCRCGGACAGCGCCCATCCCTTCAGCCTCATTCCCTCCAACATCTAGCCCCGATCTGCTTGAATCTCTTCTCGTCTCATCTCGAAGCGAATACGTSTYGGCGCCGCAGCGGACCTTGATAAGTTTTGGAGTACCGACCCGTTGAGTCCCTGTACCCTGAGAATGCAAGTCCGACGTGTTCCTAGGAGCATCCGGGCCGACCTGCGTGTGAACGCTTCGTCCCTTGATCCGACCCCCAGCGTCTGGAATCGGACTCTCGCGCCCCACTGTCGTACATGGAGTTTCTTGAGCCAAGTCGGACGATCCCTCACGGGGTGGCAGAAGCCGGAAAACATGCTCTGGCGGAAGAACCGGACGCTCTTTCGGCACCATCAGCGAGAGATCGAGATATTGCTCTGGCGATGGAAGACGCTTGCTGCCGCCATCGTAAAGGCCTTTGAAGTGAGAGCACAACGGCATGTTCGAGCCGTACCCCRCGAAACTCTTGATGGTCACCAACACACCTTTAACACCTCTGATAGGCAATCTGCACTCGTCGTACATACCGTTAGTGTGCAGCTTGAGGAAACCTCCAGGAGTCTTCGCGCACGAGACGACGGTACCAAGAGGAACAACTTTGACCGCTTCCCCAGCGTCTGTAACGCAAGTGGGTCGCATGAAAACAGTTAGCCCAAAAAAGTCCCACTGAACAACGAAGTCCAAAAACCATGGTGCTCCCTTTGCGTGCATATACTGAGGAGTAGGTTGCTGTGCAGGTCGTCCCTCCCCGGGGGCAGATGGTCCAGCGCTTGTGGATGTGTTTTTTGCGGACACCATTGTATTCCCACCCATTGACTAGCACGCCCAACCTCAGACCAACTCGGATGACTACTACGCCCAACCCCAGACCACTACAGAAGCGAAGTGCGAACTAACTTGGACTTAACGAAATGGAGGACGAAAAGGACGTAAGAGATGGGTGTTCGAAATGCACACGAAGTCACAACAATCGGGTGAAGGATAGGAAAAACAGGAGGGAAGACGATAACTGTTCGGAAAGATTGCGACCCAATTAGATGCCCTCGAAACGACTAAGATGTGGTTTATCGACAAGTGCAAAGGGTGTCGACAAGTGCGAACTAACTCGCAGTTCTGTAGACAAGACAACAATGGCAACCTGTTGCACTAGGGGAAAGTGCGAACTAACTCAGAATTGTCGAACGGAAGACCTGAAAGACGCACGAAACGAGTAAGATGTGGTTTATCGACAAGTGAGAACTAACTCGCAGTTCTGCTGACAGGACGACAATTGCAACCCGAAGTACAACGGAAAAGGACAAACTGACTCTAAATTGTGGAACTGAAGTCATGGTTTATCGACAATTGCGAAGGGTTTCGACAAGTGCGAACTAACTCGCAGTTATGTAGACAAGACAATAACGGCGATGCGCAGCACTAGGGGAAAGTACGAACTAACTCAGAATTGTGGAACTAAAGACCTGAAAGCCGCACGGGTTGGGTTGTCAACACT